TGAAACACAGAGGGCTAACCCTTTGGTTTTATAGGGGCGACGGGTGTGAGGAAACCAACCGCCGGCCTAGATCTCCGCGCCCGCCACGACCTGTCACCATGCCTTGTCACGGGGCGTGCGCACGCAACCTCCATCCGTCCCCTCGGAAAACACGTCGGACGTTTTGCCTCCCCGAATGGGCCATGACCCATCACATGTAAGAGGGCTACGGAGCTGAAAACGCTCCTACGGCCCGTCTAGGCTCAGGAGTTCGAAGGTTGGTCCACCGACGGGTTTGACAACTGCTTTGGGCACCTTTAGAGTGAGGGGTGGAAAGGGATGGGCCAGCTAGCGGCTAGTACCCGAGCGCACGAGTGCCACGGGCATCCTGACCCACATTCGAGTCTCGACGGGATACAATCCATGGTTTTTTTCTCAAAGAAAGGCAGAGAGCCCTCGGGGCCGGTCGAACGGACCCGAGAACTATATGGATTGACCGCTGAGAATATGGAGTCGGTCACCAGCTGACCCAAGCCGGACCCCCATGAACGGGATGCCGAGGCCCCACTAGGACTAGCCCGTTAATAGCTCACCGAGCACCATGATTCGTCCATAGAGAAAAATCATGGCACGGCTCAACCCCTCCGTTTTTACCAGAAAAAAACGCTTGAGGGAAGACGACCACAAAGACGAGCCAACCCTCGATCGGACCCCTGCTATGTGCGGGGGCTCGAGGAAAGTTGGACTCGCAAGGAGACCGAACGCACGATCATAGAACGATGGAAGGTCGGTCAGACCCCCGTAGGGGTCGGAATCAGAAAAGACCTTTTTCGGTCCACCAAATCTCGCGGCTGTACCCCCGAGAGGTCCGATCATGACGAAAGGGAATCGACGTCCCCATGACACACCGTGGGCGACAAAAAAGGCCAAGGCCCTCAGAGACCTCCAGTTCAAAAAAGCCTCCGAAGGAGTGTTCTACTCCTCCGCAGGCTCGGGGGGATACACCCACCGGGTGCGCTCGCACGCACCCACCGGCAAGTCAAAAAATCCCCTGGGCGATTCTGCCCGAATCATCCGGGGGCTCAGGGGCTACTGTCGGGGACCAACACTGTGGTACCCGAAGAGGAGGAGCTAATGGTCATCAACATTGATTCACCTGAGCAGTCAAGTGCGCGACTACAGCCCCGACCGACCCCCAGGTGCGCAGGTTCCGCCTCACCCGACCTCTGGGTCGGGGGCTACGCCTCGCTCGGCTCTGGGTCAGGGGCTCCGTCTCGCCTGGCCTTTGGGTTGGGCGGCTCCACCTCGCCCAACCCCTCAGGCGCGGCTCCCGACGGAAGCCCGTGCCACCGCCAACCACTACGGGCTAGAAAGTACAACCCAAGGTCAACCTTCTGGCACTGTACAGGGAGCAGGCACATCTCAACATGACCCGTACCCGCGACATGTCATTCCAGGGAATTCACATCACCAACAGTGACGGACGCGTGGTCACTATGCTGCCTACTCCCTGTACGGTCACTGACCAACACGCTGGTCAGCCGCGTCGCCCGCCGGGACGGAATGGGACACCACGACCCGCTGACAACGCCGGGGCGTGGCATTAGTGGCGAACAGGCGCCCAGCGTGGAGCCGTCCCTATCACCGTCAGCAGTGTCGATGGGACCCGTATGAAGGAGGAAAAAAAAGGTCGGCAGTCCTGGAAGCCTTCCTCTCCTTAGCTCTTCTTCCTCTTTTCTCTCTGTAAACTGCTCTTTTCCTTCGTCTATAAAAGGAAAAGCAGGACGCCCCATGGGAGAGGAGGGCTGTACACCACTTTACACGGCTATAAACATCAGAACACACATCCTAACACACCTTAGGAGCACACGCACATATCAGAGACTTGGGACATGTCTCTCTCGCCAGTTTGTAACCCCTACTATAAACTTTCAGTGCTAGTAACACGAGCAGCAGCGACGAACTGGATATAGGGACTTTCCGCCCGAACCAGTATAAACCTCATGTTCTCTAAGCACACTATCTGAGTCAGACGCGCAATACTAGAAATTTACTAGTTGATAGCTCGAAACACCGACACAATCTTTCTACTCCATCGATCCACCAGGCATTATTGTGTTTGAGTGTCACACTATCTTAGGCCGTATTTGGATAAAATTGAGGCCCTGTTTGATACAAGATCGAGCTAACTATTATTAGCTAGCTAAAAATAGTTTAGATAGGCTAATAAATGGACTATCGTTTTTTGCTAAGCCTTCGACTAGTTATTAGTTAATCCCAGCTAATTTGTAATAATTTTAGTCTCAACTAGTGACTAGCCCTAACTGATCTAAACAAACCTTGAAAATTGATTGTAGCTTGCTCACCGCGATAATCCCGCCAATTAAATAGTGCCATGGTGTATGTGGTTTATCTCTATGCCACTCGTTACGGGGCTTAGAATTGAACTAACAATCGACGGTCGGTGCCGTATCGCAGAAAAAAACAACGATTCGCACGGTATAAGGAAGCTGACGGTCGGTGCTGTATCGCAGAAAAACCAACGATCCTCTCTGCCTTACCGCACGGTCTAAGGAAGCTGAACCAACCAAGGCCTCAACAAGAAACTGTTGATGCTCTCTCCCCGTCTTAGGACGGAAGCAATTCTAGTTTTGTTTCAAACCATCCGACGCTTTGACCAACCTAATCTATCTATGCTAATCTATGCATATATACTCCCTCCGTCTCAGTATATAAGACGTACACGTATTTTAAATAAAATTCAAACTTCGTTATCTTTGACCAATAATTAGTCTAATAATATAAAAAATTATAGTACAATAGTGGTAACATTAGATTTGTCTTTATAAATACTTTCTAATGATATTTTTGTTGTTGCCATAAATAATAATAATAATAATAATAATAATAATAATAATAATAATAATAATAATTAATAATTAATAATTAAAAGTACGCTTTCAAAGACCGTACCAAGTCAAACCGTGTCTTTTATCTTGATTGAGATGGAGGGAGTACCTAATAATAATTAAAAAGGAAATTTTCTCTCTTGTAAATTTTCATCATTTACTCTTTTCCGAGTCCACCGGTCCCTCCACTCCCTCGATCCATAACACTATAGTCCTGTTCGGTTAGCTGAAAAAACAACTGATGTTGATGCTGATTTGTTATGAGAGAAAAACAATGTTATTTTATTGAAACGGTACAGTTGATAAGTTCAAACGATCAGGGCCTATGCTGGCAGCAAGAAAAGAGAAGAGGGCTCTGGCTCTGCTGGCGTGGGCACCGGAGAGAATCGCGCTGAGGGTGTTTCACGCGAAATGCCATGTTATTGGTTCGATGCTTGATCTTGTACTACTATAAAAGTGTTTGCAAAAAGCAAACAACGAACTATGCATTAGGGCCTGTTTGGATCTCCTCCTCTAAATTTTAGATCTAAAGCTCCAAACAAGTGATCTAAAATTAGCTATAAACTTCAGCCCACCTTACATTAGAGCTTAAAAGTAAGCTAAAATACTCTAAAACTTTTAAAGCTCTAAAGTTTAGAGGAGAGGATCCAAACATGGCCTTACTAAGATGCAGCCCACTTACTAATGCACCCAACCAAAGAACACCAAATTACATTCACTTGTGCAGTCTTTATCTTATGTAGTATAACCCCTTCTTGTAATGTCTGCCTCGTGCGAGCAACCAATCATGTCCTACAAATTTGTCAGAGCCAAACTATTGTAAATTTAACCAAATTTATAGAAAGAAAAATGTATTGATATTTATGACATCAAATTAGTATCATTCAATTTGCTATCTAATATAGTTTCATAATCATATATCTATTTGGTGTTATAGATGTTAATATTAATTTTTCTCTATGAACTCAATCAAAGTTGTAATAGTTTGACTTTGATGACCAAACTTATTGTAAGATTCTTTCTCTCTATGATGGAGTGAGTACGTCCTACTGTCCTAGTCGACCAAAACTTGTAATGCGTCACTTGATATGCGTTGGAAGAATGAGCGCAGGGACAAAAGCTGTCTCTCCATATGGTCAGAGATTCGATTTTCTTGTGGTAATGTGGTGCTTATTTGTCTCAAAAAAAAAACAGTCGCACAGTCCATGGATCCATCGGGGCATTGCTTTTGCGTGTCGGACTCATCAACTGACCTACTATCAACTTTCCGTTCCAAATTGTATCTAGTTTTGCTCTGAATCTGTTTTTCCTAACTTTTTTCACCAAGATCACAGGAAACTATATTAGCATCTAACGCAATATCTAGTATCGACGCATATTTCATGAATAATTTAATTTAATTAACGAAACGTATTTGATATCGTAGATACTGGGTGTAAGTTGCTATAAATTTGGTCAAAATTAAATGAGGTGGGCAAACTAATGCAAGCCCGGAGACATGCTTGGCATACGCATGCTGTGCTTCTTGTTGACGGGAAACACTATCGACTCGAACGTCGAAGCATTTCATCTAGCCTAGCCCAGCCCAGAACAAAAACAGCCCCGTTCAGTTTCCAAATCAATTCAAGTTCCTCGGCCTGGGCCACATCATCAGAGGCCCCAATCTCATCTCCTCCTCATGGGCTAGCGTTGAGGCCGAAGCAGATTGCAGTACCCACTCGGCTTTGGGCCTCCCCGTCGTGTACTCGTCACAAAAGCAGTCAAGCACATTTTTTTTCTCTCTCGGCTTGGCTTTTCACTCCGAATCACACAAGCAATCTACTTTGCGCCATTTATTAATCATTATTAACTAGGAATAGAAAGCTGCAACGTCTTAAAAGTGCATCTTCTTTTTCACATAAAATTCCAATGCGAATCCTCTATAACAAGAACAATCACAAGTAGAAAAAAAAAACAGTTCTACGCTCAGCACGGCTAATGGCAGAGCACCACGAAGATTAGTTTTGTCCGCAGATGAAATCCACCCACCACCGTCCAGAGTCACCCCTCCCATCCACCCTAAACACCATTACAAAATTTGGCTTGGCTTCCGGCACTCCACGTCACCACCATCTACAGCTCGTCGTGGTCGTCGTCGACGCCACCCTCGGAGTCACCGCCAGGGGCGCCGCCCGACCGCTGGTACACGGCCGAGACGATGGGGTTGCACACGGCCTCCACCTCCTTGAGCTTCTCCTCGTAGTCCTCCTTCTCGGCCGACTGGTTGTCGTCCAGCCACTCCAGCGCCTCCTTGAGGGCCTCCTCCACCTTCTCCTTCTCCTCCGCCTCAAGCTTGTCCGCAAGCTTGTCCTTATCGCCCACCGTGTTCTTCATGTTGTACACGTACGTCTCCAGCTGGTTCCGGGCGTCGATCCTCTCCTTCACCTTCTTGTCCTCCTCCGCAAACTCCTCCGCCTCCCGCACCATGCGGTCGATCTCCTCCTGGCTCAGGCGGCCCTTTTCGTTCGTGATCGTGATCTTCTCCGACTTGCCGGTGCCCTTGTCCTCCGCCTTCACGTTCAGGATACCGTTGGCATCCACCTCGAAGGTCACCTCGATCTGGGGAGTGCCCCTGCAGAATTCGTTCACAAAGTGTTATGGGTCATCAGACAACACTGGATTCATTCAATCATCGATTCAACAATCTCTGGTAGCAGCAACGCACCTTGGAGCTGGTGGAATGCCAGAGAGGTCGAACTTGCCGAGAAGACGGCAGTCCTTGGTCATGCTGCGCTCACCCTCGAAGACCTGTATGGATCACAGACAAAACAGGTCATTACTACCAATCCCACAGCTGGTGGAAGAGATTACAGCAGAGAGCAGAGAGCAGGCTGCACGTCATTACCTGGATGGAGACAGTGGTCTGCTGGTCCTGGTAGGTGGTGAACACCTGCGACTTTTTGGTTGGGATGACAGTGTTCCTCGGGATCAACTTGGTCATGACTCCACCGACGGTCTCAATACCCAGGGTGAGGGGAGCCACATCAAGGAGGAGGATATCTGCACCAAGGCAAAATCGCACTTCTGTAAGCAGGATGATCACTAACAAAACAACCAAGCTAGCACTAGGGAAAGAGCACAGAAACATGAGCCGAACCTTTGGTCTCGTCACCACCCTCGCCGCTCAAGATGCTTCCCTGCACCAAGGCACCAAAGGCAACAGCCTCATCAGGGTTGACACCCTTGTTGGGCTCCTTGCCATCAAAGTAGTCCCTCAGGAGCTGCTGGACCTTGGGAATCCTGGTGCTTCCACCAACAAGGACAATCTCGTGGATCTGGCTCTTCTCAAGGCCAGCATCCTCCATGGCCTTCTTGACAGGGCCCATAGTCTTGCGGAACAGGTCGTTGTTCAGCTCCTCAAACCTGGCACGGGTCAGCGGCTCCGAGAAATCGGTCCCATCAAAGAGGGACTCAATCTCAACGCGGACCTGGTGCTGGTTGCTGAGGGCTCTCTTGGCACGCTCAGCTTCCCTCCTCAGCTTTCCAAGAGCACGGTTGTCCTTGCTGATGTCCTTGCTGTACTTCTTCTTGATCAACTTGATGAAGTACTCCATGATCCTCTGGTCAAAGTCCTCACCTGAATGAAGAGATGATACAGCTCAGTCATAAATAGGCAAGTTACAGTGTAAGCTCACAGGAAATGTGCTGATAGATTATGCATGAAATACATCAACAGTAAAAAAGCAAATGCGTCCATGTAACTTCTAATGGCAAGTAAATATACAGAGCAGATTCAAGGTATGGATGATGAATTCATTCATCTAAAACAAGTGCATGCATCATAAACTTCAATGCAGATAGAACTTCTATTAATGTATCTGGCATCATAACCATTCAGATTCAGATCAATGAACACTATGAATATATGGCATCATCATGTTTTTAATCAATGTCAACATAGCATCTGATAGTAAGGTGATAGTACAGTCATCAGAAGTATATTGCGTGTGCATTGGATGGCTAGAAAGATTTAATGAGAAAATTCTATTACCTCCAAGATGGGTGTCACCGTTGGTGGCCAGCACCTCAAACACACCATTGTCAATGGTCAAGACACTGACATCAAAAGTACCACCACCAAGGTCAAACACAAGGATGTTCTTCTCGCCACCCTTCTTGTCCAAACCGTAGGCAATAGCAGCAGCAGTCGGCTCATTGATGATCCTAGCAACATTGAGGCCGGCAATGACACCAGCATCCTTGGTTGCCTGCCTCTGCGCATCATTGAAGTACGCTGCAAAAAATACACAACATAAAGAAGTGAGCCACCACATTTTTATATGACAACCACCAGAGGTAACCAGCAGAATGGTTCAGTTACTAACCAGGGACAGTGACGACAGCATCGGTGATCTTCTTGCCAAGGTAAGCCTCAGCAGTATCCTTCATCTTGCCAAGAATCATGGCACTGATCTCCTCAGGGCTGAAGACCTTGTTCTCCCCGTCCTTGATCTTGACCTGAATGTAGGGCTTACCATCCTTGTTAATAATCTTGTAGGGAACAAGTTTCATGTCCCTCTGGACTTCCTTGTCCTCAAACCTAAACAATGGGTATTACAGTTAAGACACCAGACATAATCCACAGCAAGATGAATTACGATAAGTAATTGTGGGAGGGAGGTATTACTTTCTTCCGATGAGCCGCTTGACGTCAAAGATGGTCCTCTCAGGGTTGACAGCTGCCTGGTTCTTGGCAGCCTCACCGATGAGCCTCTCGCTATCGGTGAAGGCAACCCATGAGGGTGTGATACGGTTACCCTGGTCATTGGCGATGATCTCGACATGACCGTTCTTGTACACACCGACACAAGAGTAGGTGGTACCGAGATCGATACCGATCACGGTCCCGAGCTTCTTGGTCTCCTCCTTAGCAACTGAAAATGCAAACAGGGATCCTGCAAATATACAGAATAAAATGATTAAATGACACTGATCATGTATTATCTTATCTCTGAAGTTACCAGCACATATACAGCAGCAGCAGCAGCAGAAACTGAAATGTAATGTAATTGAGGCAGCATTTGACATCAGTAAATAGTGAATTCAGACACATTCCAATTATTCCACTGAATCTGAATGTTTTGGTAATCTAATCCATATAAAAAATAGACACCTACAGTTAGTTCAATTATTATAAATTTAATGACTGGCTGTTAGTTCAATTATTATAAATGTAATGACCGGATGTTTAGACATGAAATGAGAATCACAGTCTGCTCCATACCATTACATTCTCTTCTAATTCTAATACCATGAGCATGATCGAACCAATCACAGATCGAGGCAGTAATGAAGTCTATCTATGAAATGAAGTCTGAAATCGCTAGCTAATGTGTGAACTCAGCCGGAGTGAACGCGACTCAGTTTCAGGTTCAGGGGGATAGTTAAAAAAAAATCTGCATCAACTACATCCCTTGGTCGCGGATGGGTACCAATTAGATCAAGGAAATACTACCTAGAAACAGTCTAAATATTAGATCACGTGAAAGAACAGTCTACGGTGTCCCGTCATCCCCAGCACCCGCTCCTCAATTCATGATCCAAACATATATCTCACGCAGATCGAGCTCGAGGCATCTCAGGGGCACTATCAAATCTAACCCCAGCACCAGATCTCATCTCACATCCATCACAGTAACATAAAACAAACAAACAAAAGCCTCAGAGAAACCGAACCGCACGAGACGACGGGATCGCACGGTAGGTACCTGCGAGCAGGACGCCGAGCAGGAACGCGGATCCGCGAACCCGATCCATGGCCGGCACCACCTCAACGCTGCGCGCGCGTCTCCTCCTCCTCCTCGCCTTCTTGAAGCTCCTTGGTTTCGAACTGCTGGCTGACGAGTCGAGCCTCCTGTTGTTGTTGTCTGCGATGGTGGTGGAGAGGAGAGACGAGACGGGGACGGGTTTTAAACTCGGCTGGCTCGGGATCTCGCTGCGCCCGTCGCGTTGGCCGGGACGTCACGAGTCCGACCTGGACCAGTAGGAGCGCGACGCGTGGACGCCCGAGCCAATCGCGGGGGGCTCTGTGCTGGGCCAGCCGCGGCCGTCCGTCACGCCCATCCGACGGTCCGGATGGCCTCAGACCGCGCGGAGTCGCGCCATTGGCTGCGGTCGCGTGGCGGTGGCGGGGGCGGCCGGGCTTCCACTGCTCCGAGTGGTCGGGAACGGTCTGGAACCGAGTGTCCTGCTACCGGTGAGCCAACTGACGTATGGGCCCCATCACAGGGTCTCCTCCTCTCAAATTTTTTTATGAGAAAACCCTGTACTAGGCAGTTCTGAGGCACACCAATAAAGCAAAGCAACATACTCCCCCTGTCTTTATTAAAAAAATATAGTTCTAAACTCTACTAGATCAAACTTTCTTAAATTTAACCAAATTTATAGAGAAAGCATTTATATCTAATCTTGATATAAAATATATATTTCATAATTAACGGTATCATAAATAATAGTATCTTTATAAATTTGGTAAAAAAAACTAATTGTTTGACTCTTAGGGTTGTAAAAAGTATATTCTTTTTGAGATGGAGAGAGCAGTAGTAAGAGAATGTAAGTGGGTTTATTCATGAGCCTGCAAATAAGTAACCAACTTTTGTTTTTTTCGTTCAAAATATAATAAAATCAATAATATGTATGTCTTTCTAATAAAAAATAAAATTGATTGAGCTCTTTTACAGTGGTTGGGGTACTTCTGGGTTCCTCTCGGTTCCTAAGCAAATTATTAGCTCTAATTATTTTTATGCGTTGAAGGTTAGGATGGTAATTGCGCCTCCCCTCCCCCATCATCCCTCCTCGCCCACGCGCCCCGACCCAACCCCCACAGGCGACGCCTGAAGGACGCGAGGCTGCGCACAAGACCTAGCCGCCGCCACCTGCGCCTCGCCCTCGCCATTGCGCAGCGCATCGCCACTAGCGACTTGCCCTCGCCCCGCCAGGCCGGGAGCCCGTGGCTCCTCCCTCCTCCCCGACATCCCGGCCGACGCCTTGACCCTTGCAGAGAGCTCACACCGCCAACATCGTCTCTCTCGCTGCTCATTGTCCTCGTCCTCCTGCACACCTCATTGCTCATCGGCCTCGGCCTCGGCCTCCTGCGCGCCCACGCCGCACAAGGCCGAGGACAACGCCAGCAGGAGGTCGACCATTGGTCGCGCCCGGTGGTGGACCTCTTCTACAACCCGTCACGCCCGACGGCTACTTCCTCATCATCACCCGACAAAGGTACACCATCCCTGAACCCATCACTGTTGCTTGATTTATAGATTGTTATTGAGAGTGGGTGTGTGAGTTATATTGTGGAATGTGAATTGCACGATGATTACAATAGATGGTTCCTATGGTGAAAAATGCAGTGAATTTCATAGATACTAGTGGATTGTGTAGTCATGTACACTCAGGTTACTACTGATGCCGTTGATGTTGGTAAGGATGTAACTGGCATAGAGACCCTGGTCTAGAATCTGGATCTATATTGGTTTATCGTTACACATAGATGTTTTATTATATTAGTTTCAAATGCGAGATCGATCCATCAATTTGTCAATACCTGATAAATTGGATATGATATTCAATTGTCATTGGTTCATTGTATTTAGCTGCCTTCGCGTTGTGTGCATTCAAGTTCAAAACAAGCCGTTGAATCACTGAAAGATGATACCACCTCTTGTATTTCAATATTATTCTTGAACTCTGAAACCATATCAGAATGAGCTTAATTATTTTTACAAGAAAATAGTTGACACAATGCATTCTTCCATGTCTTTCTTTGCATATATTAAATTATGTGAAGATCTTTTAAGAAGTACTAAAACATGGAAGAGAAGTGCCTTGGTGTTTTGATTTCTGGATCACACACTTCAACCTCGCTACTCAAAGTACAAACTAGAATTTAAGTACAGCTTTGGCAGCTAAAAAGAATGCAATGACCATGGCACAATTAAACCTGGAAGCTTAATATTTTAATGTAGATAAATTGACATTTACTAGCATTGTGTTCCAAACTCTTTTTACTAGAATCGATTGTTTCCAACTTTCGATCTAGTTCTGGTTAGACTCACCTAGTCATCCAAAATCTGATCCTCGCTGATCGTAACTTGTGTTCCATTGTAAAGAAGTGGTTGGAAAAGCAAGAAGGAAAACTTGTTTCATGATGTACTTCCTGCTTTGAGTAGTTTTATCTAGTTTTGGATGTTTTAGTAACTTGGTTTTAAGGAAAAAAATAGAGCTCTTTTACGAGTGGTTGGGGTACTTCTTGGTTTCTCTGGAGTTCCTAAGCAAATTATTAGCTCTAATTGTTTTTATGCGTTGATACGCTTGCACTTCCGCAATCCATGAGGACTGCAAAGACGCACAATTCTTCTTCAATCAGTAGGGATCAAGCAGCGCGCAAGAAAGTCGTGGTGGTGAGTTCCAATTAAACCCCTCTGGTTCTCTCTCAATTATTAGTGTTTATGTTATTACGAACACTTCTCTGCTATGGTTACTACTTAATATTTATTTCTTTCGATAACTTAAGATGCCGAGTTGTAATACAAGTTTACTGTTTTTCTCCGCCCTATGCCTATATGAATCAACCAGTTTAGCTGTTGTTTTGCACATTCCAAATCATAGGGACCATGCCCTCTTAAAATGTTGAGTGTTAATACAAGTTCACTGTTTTTTTCCCGCCCTATGCCTACAAATCAACCAGTTCATATTGTGCTGTTTGCTTTGTCTTTGCATGTGCCAAATCGGAGAGACCATGAACTCTAACGGCTCAAAGAGCTTTCACATTATTCTCTGTACTATAATCATGCTATCTTAGATTGTCGACCACTTTCCATGGCCACACCTGTTGTTTTAGATGGTTTGCAAGATGGCAGCCATATTATAGAGATGTTTAAAAATATTAATTATCTATGGCCTTTGCAAGTATTTTCCTTTTTACATAGAAAAGGCTTTCCTTAGCTAATTTTGTCTTTGTATTTGTTATACTCTATCCCACTAATATACACGTCTTTTATCTAATAACTCACAGGCTAACAAAATACTCTATCTCATTGTATTGCCTATTGTTGCTGTGATTTTATTTTCAGAAGTGATTTTACTTTTTTTGGGAGATGTCTTCTTGTACCAATTGTTTGGTTCTTGTTGGAATTTACTGTTCCCCGTTGCATAATATACAAGCATCTATACAGGAGGAAATGTTAGATCTTGAGTCTTTGCTGGAGTACAATGAAATTGTCAAGAAGTTGTTTGCTAATGAAGAAGAAGGATTTCAGTTCTATAACAACTACGGTTTTGAGAAAGGATTTAGTGTGAGGAGAAGCTATTGTGAGTGGGACAATGGCCACAATGAGATGACTCTTCGGAAGTTCATTTGCAGTCGTCAAGGTTTCCGTGAAGAGAAGCAGCTGAAGAAGGCGATTAAGAAGCGGAAGCCGCGGAATATTACCTGTGTTGGATGCCTTGCTAAATTTGTGATTGCACGAGATCAGATCACAGGGCACTGGTATGTGAAGGATTTCATCGATGAACACAACCATCCGATGGCGCCAGCAGAGCTTACTTGTCTGCTACGTTCACATAGAAGAATCAGCGATGAGCAGAAAGCTGAGATTGTGGAGATGGAGAGTTCTGGGATCCGCAAACACAAGATAATGGATATTTTGGAAATGCAGTATGGTGGGTATGATAAGGTTGGGTGTACAATAAGGGACTTGTATAATTTCTGCCATCGCTATATGGCGGAGACAATTGCTGCCGGTGACGCTCAAACAATCATCAGTTACCTAACGAAACTTCAGCGCAGAGATCCTGATTTCTTTTTTAAGTACATGGTTGATGGGGAAGGACACCTGAAGGGACTATTCTAGTGTGATAGTCAATGTCTACTTGATTATGAAGCATTTGGTGATGTCGTTGTATTTGATAGCACCTACAAAACTAATCGGTACAACATACCCCTTGTTCCTTTTGTTGGGGTGAATCACCATCGAAGCACAATTATTTTTGGATGTGGAATTATTTCTCATGAGAATATTGAGTCATATGTGTGGTTGCTGAGTACATTTTCCGAGGCCATGATTCAGAAGCATCCGATCTCCGTGATCACTGATGGAGACCTTGCTATGCAGAGAGCAATCAGGCTTGTGTGGCCGAATTCATCGCATAGGCTCTGTATATGGCATATTGAGCAGAACATTGTGCGTAATCTTAAGGATGATGTTGTCAAGGATGAATTTAGGAGTTTCCTTTATTATTGTTGGTCCATAGAAGAGACCGAGAGAAAATGGCAGAAATTTTTGGATAAGCATAAGGTTAGAAATAAGGAGTCATGGTTGTATCAGATGTATGATATGAGGGAAATCTGATGTGCTTCGTATCATGCTGGTAAGTGCTACTTAGGACTGAGGAGCAACCAATGGAGTGAGTCTAAACTCTAGGCTTCATATGCGTCTAGATCGTAAAATGACACTGCTTGACATGGTAAAGCACGTGGAGTACTGCCTTTCAGGGCTGCGCACAAATGAGGCAAAGTTGGACACTGATGCATTGCAATCTGAGGCATGCATAGAACTAGATGCTTCAATTATTGAGATAGAAGCCGTGAAATCGTTCACTCCAATAGTTTTCACCACGGTGCAGTTCAGCATAAAGGCGGCCAAGAAGTGTTTTTCGATTGACATTCTAGATGGCGATAATATGAGTGAGTATATTGTTGGCAGGAAGGATAAAGGAGACATGATGTACTATGTCAAATGTCTATTTTGTGATGA